GCCTACTCACAATGAAATGATCAGTCTAAAAATCAAGTGGTAGGTGTATGGTAACACTGAGAGACAGAATAGCAACAAAAAATAAAAAAAAAATGCATGTCTAACAAATTATGCACTGATTTGCATGTTCATGAGGGAAATAAGTATTTGATCCCCTTCACAAAACATGACTTAGTACTTGGTGGCAAATCCCTTGTTGGCAATCACCGAGGTAAGACGTTTCCTGTAGTTGGCCACCAGGTTTTCTTGGTGACTGTGGTCCCAGCTGCCTGGAGATCATTGACAAGATCCTCACGTGTAGTTCTGAGATGATTCCTCACTGTTCTCATGATCATTGACACTCCACGAGGTGAGATCTTGCATGGTGCACCAGACCTAGGGAGACTGACAGTTGTTTAGTGTTTTTTCCATTTGCGAATGATTGCACCAACTGTTGTCATCTTCTCACCAAGCTGCTTGGCGATAGTTTGGTAGCCCAGTCCAGCCTTGTGTAGGTCTACAATCTTGTCCCTGAAATCCGTGCACAGATCTTTGGTCTTTGCCATGGTGAAGAGTATGGAATCTGATTGTTTGATTGTTCCTGTAGACAGGTGTCTTTTAGACAGGTAACAAAATGAGATTAGCAGCACTCCCTTTAAGAGACTGCTTCTAATCTCAGCTTGTTACCTGTAGGAAAGACACCTGGTCGCCAGAAATCCTGCTGAATGATAGGGTATCGAATACTTATTTCCCTCATGAACATGCAAATCAGTCCATCATTTGTTAGACATGCATTTCTTTTGAATTGTTTTGTTTGCTATTCTGTCTCTCAGTGTTGCAATACACCTACCATTCGATTTTTAGACTGATCATTTCTTTGTGAGTGGGCAAACATTTAAAATCAGCAGGGGATCAAATTATTTCCTTCACTGTATATATATATATATATTTTTTTTAGTTTTAAAAAAAACCCATACTCTTTTAATGCAGGTTTTGTACAGTTGGGAAACTACAGATGGAATCTAACACAGTATCATCTAAGGAGATCCTGCAAGGATATTGTTACAGTAAAGAACCAGCTGTGGAACTAGTATTTCTACATACTATTTGTAAGATAGGGGTGTCAAACTATCTGTGCTTTAGGGATTTAATGGCTAGTTTTATGGCCTATAAGGAGATGGGTGCCTCAAGGAGTAAAAGGAGGTCATGCGGGATGAGGAGTGAGGGGTCAGATACCAGTGTTTCATCTTGGCCTAGGTTTGTGGGGTTTGATATCATATGGGATAACATATTCTTTTTGTTACATGTTGCCATTAACCACTTGCCCTCTAGAGGATTTACCCGCCGTTTCTGACCAGGTCATTTTTTGTAATACAGCACTGCATTACTTTAACTGAAAACTGCACCATCATGCAACGCTGTACATTGATCACCTGTGTGTTTTTTATTTTTTGCTCTATAAGCATAAAAAGACCAACAATTTAGAAAAAAAACAATATTTTTGACTTTTTGATACAAAACATATCCAGTAAAGAAAATTAAAAAATCTAATTTCTTTATAAGTTTAGTCCAAAATATATTCTGCTACATGTCTTTGCTAAAAAAAAATCACAATACATGTAAATTAATTTTTCTTTTGATTGAAAAAGATACTTTATTACAGAAGTATAAAAAAACATGATACTCGTTATCGGGGTACATCTCACCCTATACTGCGACGCAGCGCACCACATTGCAATATAGTTCCAGGCATACGATAAATACATTCAATAAATACATTCACTCAGCGGTATGATGCCTGACGTGATGTGCGTGGCGGACGAATCCCCAGACCAACACGTCATGCATAACGCCGCTTACCCCGAGACCATAGCATCCTAAGACAAAGAACATTTCCTACCGTTAAAAAGTCATGCAAGATACGATTATTACAATATACAATAAGCATCGGGTGTGGGGGGGGGGAGGGAAAAGAGGGGTCACAGGCCCGAAGCTTTATTGAAGGGACAAAGACACGCAAGGGGGAGTAGGGGGAAGGGGAGATCTTCAGACGTCCTCTTCCTCCTTAAAGTCCATCAAGGAATAGTCCCTGAGCAGACTGAGGATCAGTCTGCGGCAGGCCTCAATGGACATCCTCTCCCTCTGGTGGATGAGGCACTTCCTGGCGCACCATAAAGCGTCCTTAAAACAACACAGCACCCGCCAGGCGCTGTCAATGTCCTGCAGAGAAAAAGTTCCACAGAAAAGTCCATTCAACACCCCAAAGTGTGTGATGGCTGTCTGTGGCACAAAGTCCTTGAGTTCAGGTTCCAGGGCCCTCAACAGGTCCTGAGCAAAAGAGCACTCCCAGAAAACGTGATGAGCCGTTTCCTCATGATGATGCAGAAGGGGCAGTGTCTGTATCTGCTCAGGTTCCTGGAAATTAATTGGTTTACGTGAAAGTTATAGTGTCTACAAATGGTGGTATATATATCCTGGAATTTTTTTTATATACTAGTAATGGCAGCAATTAGTGACTTATAGTGGGACTGCGGGACTGTGGGACTGCCGTGAGCATTCTGACACTGGGGGAAGGATTGGCTAACTGCCACTGACATTCCAATGATGTTAATACAGTGATCAGTGCTAATAAAAAGTGCTGACACTGTACTAATGACACTGGGCAAGAAGGGGTTAACATCTGGGGCAATCAAAGGGTTAACTGTGTGCTGTTTTACTAAGTGTGCTGTGTGTGTTTTACTAGGAAAACATATTGCTGTGTATTTTGCTAGTGTGCAAAGAAATACACAGCAGCATGTGCTTGCTAGCAAGAGAGAGACCTGTGTTGTTTACACACAGGTCTCTCCCCTGTCAGTGATACTCAGCGATCGCCGGGTGCTGGCGGAGAATCTCCAGGCGGGACCCAGTGATTGACATCTGTAGCCGCCAATGGCGTGCACTATCTACCTGGAAATGCAAAATAATATATATATATATATATATATATATATAATATATATATATATACACATGATTTTGTGCAGCCCTGCTGCCCTGTAGCAGTAGTTCTGCTATAGGGCGGTCAGGAAACAGTTAACATAGCATAACGTAAACAAACATTTAAAAACTGTTGTTAACTTTTTTGCTTAAAAATCAAACCTATCAATCCCATTCTGCAGTATGTAATGTAGAAGGGGCCAGGGGAATTATTTATCCCATAATGAACCCTGTCTGTACTGGGCTGAAGGATCTTCTTTATAATAAATAATAAGTGTTGCACTGTAACATTTACAAGAATACAAACAGATTAAAAAAAATAAAACAATATGTAAAAAATGATTATCCTGTATTAGAGGAAAAGGCCAATATAATATATTAAGTTTAAGTGATTAAAAAAGACCCATGTGAAAAAAAAGCAAAAATAAATAAATAGCCCTCAGTGAAATTAGTGTAACAGTCCCCTGTAAGAGTAATGCTCCAAAATCTTCTCCCTTTCCTCTGCATACACCAGTGTCACCCAACACCATAGTGAAGTCAAGATTCAGGCTTACCAAATGTTCCGACCCCCTTATTCAGAGTGGTCAGTAAAAGCTCAAATTGCAAAACCACAGTGGCAACTCTCTGCTCCAATCCAAACACTAATGTCCAGCACCACTCCTCAGATAGAAAGTAATTACAAAAAAAGCAGATTCAGGTAAAAAACAAAGAAATAGACACTTCTCATAGTGTAGACATCATAAAACACCATTTAATTAGCATAAAACGCACATACAGACATCAATAAGCATATGCATATAATCATATTTGCGCAATCGGTAAAGATAGCTTCAACTTCCGGTAAATCTGTACGTGATGACGTCATGGGGAAGCTGTATGTATTGCTTGTCACTACCTACATTGGTAGTGTTAGCACAGCTTCCTATTGGATGAGATAATATGCTAACAAATAGTTGAGAGACCATCCATGCACCTGATGGCAGAACTGGCAAATCAATTCAGTATCTGTATTTATTTTTAATGAGCTAACCCTAAATAAGCGCAATATCCTATATACAGTTCATTCACTAAAGAGTTAAATTTATCCATATTAAAAATGTTTTTTATTCGTTCCTAGGAGTAATATATATATGGAGTCATTTCTATTCTTACAGCATCCCATTCTTGTCTGTCACAACAATGTGTATGATTATCAATTCTGATTGATGTGCGGTTACACAGTGCATTCCCTGCAAGAGTTGAAATCCTCTCCTTTCTTGTGTCTCCAAGATGTATGACAATGTAGGCAGACTGTTATTAAAGATGCCTCAGCCCAATATTTATTCATTCTTATCAGTGTGTTTTTACATTGTCACATTGGATTGTACCTGCATTGCTATTTCTTATTTAAGTGTCGAATATTACATTTATCGCATTTAAATGTCAGTGTTTTCATACTACACATATTAACAATTATGTTATACTTTGCCTAGTAGATTATACTTTGCATACTGCAGACACTTTGCTTCAGCTGAGATTTATACATTGCCATTAATTGTTTTTAGTTTTTACCGAAGAGTGCAGTAATATTCTGTAGCATTTTTTTTTGTTTGTATTTATATTTAACTACTTGCCTTCCTGAGGACTTACCCCCCTTCCTGACCAAGCTATTCTTTGCAATACAGAGCTACATTACTTTAACTGACAATTGCGCGGTCATGCAATGCTGCACCCAAATGAAATTTATGTCCTTTTTTCCCCCACAAATGGAGCTTTCTTTTGGTGGTATTTGATTGCCTCTGCATTTTTTATTTTTTGTGCTATAAACAAAAAAAGACCACAAAAAACAATTTGGAAAAAAACTATATTTTTTGACTTTTTGCTATAAAACATACCCAATAAAAAATTTAAAAAATCTAATTTCGACATATGTATTCTGCTACATGTCTTTGCTAAAATAAAAACCCAATACGTGTAACTTAATTGGTTTATGTGAAAGTGATAGCATTTACAAATGGTGGTATATATACTGGAAATTTCTTTTTTTTTACTAGCAATGGCTGAGGTCAGTGACTTATACCGGGCCTGCAGCAGGCATTCGGACACTGGGGGGGAACTGAGTTGGTGTCACTGACATCCCCAGTGACAGCAATACAGTGATCAGTTTCAAATAAACAAGCACTGACACTGTACTAATGGCACTGGGCAGGAAGGGGTTAACTTGTGGGGCGATCTAAGGGTTAACTGTGCGCTGTTTTACAGTGTGCTGTGTGTGTCCTTTACACTGTAAGCACACTGCTTTGTATGGCTCTCCTATGCAGAGCCATACAAAGCAGTGTGCAGGAGCTGACAGGGGAGAGGTCAGGTCTCTCCCCCGTCGGTAATACTTGGCAAACGCTGGGTGCCAGCGGGGAATAACCGGCCAGGACCCTTGATTGACAGCCGAGGCCGCGAATGGCAGTGCAGATAGTATTTCTAATAAAGGGCGTCACGGAAGCAGTTAATGAGATAACCCTAAATAAGTACAATATCCTGTGTACTGTTGATTCAGTAAAGAGTTAAATGTACCCATATTAAAAATGTTCTTTATGTTTACACCATGCCCACACATGAATCGCACAGTAATGTGCTGTGCATTCCTGTGTGATTTAGACCGCATGCAAAATGGACTCCATTTGCGATCTGCAGTGGGTATAAATAGATAGCTAATGCCACCCTAAACAAAAGTCGCAAATGCAGTGTGTTTGTCTGCACTGGATCGCACTGGTTTTGTACCATGTTATCCGGTTGCAGTGCGTTTTAAAAAATAGTGCATTCACTACTTTTGGTGCAGTGGGGTGCAGTGCAGTTGTATCCCTTTCTATTCCCTTTGCACCACACACAACCGCATGTGAATCGCATAGGAACATGCTGTGTAGGCATGGTGTGAACCGGCACTCGTGTAAATATGAAATATTGAGTTTGAATATTTTGTATTCTTATACCTACCAGCAGGTGGAACTTTTCACATCTCACAATTTCTCCTGCTGCAAATGAAGGTAATTTTTGAGTCATGTGAATATGTATTTAATTTAAATAACTAATCATGTGCAAGGGAAATTGAAAAAAAAAGAAGGATTTCTGCTAGCAAGATGGGTATATTAACATAACTTCATCCAATTTACTAAGCTCAGCAAATGTTCACTGTGCTAAGGAAATAGTATTTAATCATTTTGTAAATCAATACTTGTGTGTCTGAAAGGAAACAACTTTTGCTTTTCTTTCTTTAGGAAACCCACAGCCTCTGAAAATCCTTTTTCATAATAAAAAAACTATTTTCAAAATAAAGATAGTTGTGGTGTATTAATTTGTATTATGTACATTTGTATGTATTGCTATTTTTGTGCACTATCTGCATTTCCCATGTATCTATTGTCATTTTGTGCCAATTAGGTGCTTTACTAGACGGGTTCTTCTGTGTGGTGTTCTTGATGTCCAGACCCTTTTTTAATACATGGAAATCTCACTAGGTTTCCATACTCACTTCTTTCTTTGGGATGACATGTTTTTTTCTTTTAGTGGGATTAGTCGTGGGTTTCTCACTATCATTTCTCCTCTACAACCATTCATATATCTGATTTCTCAGATTTCTTCTACCTGGTTGTGGACCGAGTATCATCAAAATGCTGACAATAAAAACAGTGCTGTTTTTTTATCTTCCTCCTCTGCAAGACCCGTGAGTGCCTCTAAACCAGTTTATTTTTATATATATATATATATATATATATATATATATATATATATTATACACACACACACTACTCAAAAGTATTAGACCATCCCCCATCTTTCCAGTTTTTATTGACATTTACCCAGTTTAATGTCTTAGTGAAAATAAAGCCTAGAACAAACAAGTATTATATGAGTATATACAGTATAATGAATATATATTTGTATATATTACGTATTGGACATGTATATGCACTTGCTAGCTGAAAATTGGCATGGCACATGGATGCAGTGGTGTATTTTAGTTTTGTGCTGCCCTAGGCAACTAACTAAAGAGGGAGAGAAAGACAAAGAGAGACAAGAGATAAAGAGGGAGAGAGAAAGAGAAAAAGGGAGGGAGAAAAGGAGAGATTTAAAAAGAGAGAGGGAGAGAAAGAAAGATAAAAGAGGGAGAGAAAGATAAAGATAAAGAGAGAGAGAAAGAGCGAGTGATAAAGAGTGTTCTGTCCCTCCAATCTAAGCATTGATAGTGTGATCTCTGTAACTTACAGTTCTGATGAGATAGCGATAACTTCAACCTCAGTTGGACACTACAGTCAGTGACTCAATCAATAAGACATCTTGTAGATCTTGTGAAGTTTATTCCATAAACTGAGAGAATCTTACAACAATGAACATTCGATAGGTCAAAAGATCATAATGTGATCTACTTCATGACATGAGCCTAGAGCTGCAGTGCATTACTGGGAAGGCGAAGGGCTATCTATACAGCATTAACTACTTGCCAACTGCAGATAGCCGAATGGCGGCTACACTGTGGCCGGCCAGTTCTGGGAGGGCGTCATATGACGTCCTCCAAGAATGCGCTCTCCTGCGCGCCCCCGGAGGCACGCACCCGGCGATCTCCGTGAACGTTGTGTCCTACGGACACAGCTGATCACATGATGTGGTAAAAGGCCTATCACAGCGGCCTTTTACCACGTGATCAGCCGTGTCCAATGACACACTGATCACCGGGAAATGCAATTTCCGGTTCTCGGCTGCACTTTCCTCACGCTGTCAGAGCGCGAGCAAAGTACTGCAGAGAACCGGCAGTTGTCAGAGCAGGGATCGGCACCAATCATCAGAGCACTGATGATCAGTACCCTGATGATCGGTGCCCAGCAGTGCCACCCACCAGTTCCGCCCACCTGTGAACAGCAGTGCACCCACCTATGCCCAGAAGTGCACCCACCTGTGCCCAGCAGTGCCACCTACCTGTGCCCAGAAGTGCCACCCACCAGTGCCACCCATCAGTGCCCATCAATGCAGTGCTGCCAGTCAGTGCCACCAGTCAGTACCCAGCGGTTGTGAACAATCAGTGCCCAGCAGTTGCGCCAGTCAGTGCCTAGCAGTGCCGCCAGTCAGTGCCCAGCAGTGATGTCAGTCAGTGCTGTCTATCAGTACCCATCATCAGTGCCGCCTATCAGTGCCACCTATCAGTGCCCTTCAGTGCTGCCTATCAGTGCCCAGCAGTGCCGCCTATCAGTGCCCATCAGTGCATCCTCATCAACGCACATCAGTGAAGGAGAAAAAATTACCTGTTTGAAAAATTTTATAATAGAAACAAAGAAAAAAAAATTTTTTTTTTTCAAATTTTTGCACTTGTTTAGTTTATAGCACAAAACGTAAAGTGCCCAGTGGCGATTAAATACCACCAAAAGAAAACTCTGTTTGCGAGAAAAAAAATGATAAAAATGTCATATGGGTACAATCTTGCATGACCGCGGAATTGTCAATCAAAGTGCGACAGCGCTGAGAGCTGAAAATTGGCCTGGTAAAGAAGGGGGCATAAATGCCCGGTAGGCAAGTGGTTAACTAAACCAAAGGAAAGGGAGGAGCAGAAACAAGATATAGAAACACTTAAAGGCATATGACAGTCAATATGACAGTCATGTGAAACATAACACTCCCTGTCAAAATCTATGAGTTCTATTATAATAAACTTTAGTTCAAGTCCAATATAAATAATAAAGATTCTTTCCAGGAACATCTGCAAAACAAGAGGGAAGGGAAGATCAAAGGAAAACAATGCAAACATTTAGCATAATACTTGCAGATGTTGGTCTCGAAAGTCCAGGCTGAGACATGGAAATCTATATTCAGAGGGGAGGCAGCAAAATGCACTATCCCTTCTTACCTCCCTTTAAATCAGGTTGATGACTTGTCTTCCTCTTTGGGCAAAAGAAGTACTAGTTCCTTTATAGACCTGAAGTAAAGGTGTGCAAAACCTGCTTTCATGGTGTATATAGCCAAGATGTGTCCCAAAATGCAGTAGTAGGTACTGCACGACTGCCGCGGTCAGCAGGGTTGAGGCTAGTGGGAACATAGTGCCATTGTCCAGGATTTAGAGACTGTTTCCAGGATTCCCACCTTTGTTGTTTCTCCTTGGGTAAGGGGGTATCCCAGTCTGAGCTTTCAGAAGTAAGTTGTCTCAGCAGTATCTTACCCTGAATGGAGA